ACTCCGTCGGATCTGACTGGAACTTTGTCCCCCCTCTCCAGCCGGGAGAGCGGGGATGTGACTTCGGCTTCACGATCTATTTAGTAAATAAAATCTTGTGCACAATATGTTCTCATTATTCCTGCTTTCTTGACAAATAAATCCACCAAAATATAGGGGTTGTTGCCCTTATATTAGANATTTACCATTTCGAAACAAACTCCGCATGAAATTAAAAAAAAAGAAAATAAGTAATTTTAAAACCTATCAGTCAACAAAAAAAAATTAGTGGTTATAAAAATATGAACTTTAGCTATTTTCTTATCAGTCTCTATTTTTTTTATCTGTAACAAAGTATTATCCACAAACGAACACAAATAAAGTTTTTTTTTCTTGCCACTAATACTTCCTACCATATATTTTACAACTTTATCTTCATCAGCCTTCCAAACTACTTTATTTTTCAGTTCCTGCCCCATTTCACAATTTTCAAAACTAGCAAAATATTTAATTTCTTTTCTACTTTTAAAAGAGAGAGGTTTTCAATCAGGAAAAGAAGAGAAAAAAACTCCATACTGAAAATGAAATACACATTCATTTGTTTCGCTTCGGGAATTTAATGTTCGAACTGTAACTGAAAAAACTGGAGAGAAAAAAATTACTATTTTTCCCGAAATGTTATTAGATTATCATCAATCAGAATTTTCTTTTTTATTTTGAAAAAAAAATTTAATTTTTGCATTTTTCTGCCTCAGAATATGATTGATGTAACAAAGAAAAGTGAAATCTCAGTAACTCAGATTAATCACTTTTTCCATTCGGGTAGTATCATTCTTTTACATAAATCAGTTCTCTGCAGAAATGAAAGTTTTGAGCAAAACTAGAGAAAAATATTTTTCTACGCTCAGCATAACATTCCACCTTCGCTAGTAATGACCTCATTCGACCAAAAATCAATTTGTTCTAGAAATTATTTATTCATATTTAAACGAGTTTTGATAAAAACTTAATGAACTGAATTGATGAATCAAACTTTGAGCGAAATTTAGGATGATTCAAAAAATATCTTTTACTTATCTATTTTTAATTTTTACTTATTTTTATCTTTTATTTATATTTACTATTCATTTATTTATTTTTTTATAATATCTTTTATTTATATTTATTATTCAGTTATTTTTATTTTTTTATATTATCTTTTATTTATATTTATTATTTATTTATATTTATTATTTATTTATTCTTATTTTTTATTTGTTTTCTATTTAAATTTGTTTTCTATTTAAATTTGTTTTTATTTATTTATTTTTTTATTTATTTATTTTTCTACCATTATAACGTATTAAAATTGCATGCAGATGAAAAAAATTACAAAATTTTTTAAAGCAAATATTTTTTTGCATTTTTTAATGTTATGAAAAAAAAAATTTTTTTTCACGTTTATTGTATCACGTTTATTGTACAACGTTGCTTTGTACACATTCCGAAAGATGGGGTCAACGACTCTGGTATTGCCACTACACCGTGGGGAGGGAGAGGGAAATCTAAAATTATTACAGATAATTTTTGTTAAACAATTATCAAATCTGAAGATGCCAAAGTTATTTTTACTTGAGTTTCCTTAGCCTGATTTTATTATAACCTCTATAAATACCTCTCCACTCACAGAAAAATAATTTAAAATATTTTTATAAGCAACATTCTTCAATTTTCCATTTCATTAAAATCATTTAACAACATATAATAACTAACAAAGTTATATTTTATTTATTAATAAAATTTATACATCGAACTGTTTTAAACAATATTGAAAAACTACATATTAAGTTATTGTTTTCCTCTTTATCAGCGACAAATCCTAGAAACAGCAGCTATAAGTGAATAAAATATCGTAATCACAGTTCAAAAATCAAAATGACAATGTACAATTCACAATTGATTTTAAAATTATCACGTTAGATAAGTTAGTCTTAAATTTATTAATATTACGAGTGGTTGTACTAAAACTTTTTTACATAAAAAAAAAATTTAATAAAACTTGTAAGTTTTTTTTTTTTCATTTTATTTTATTTATTTTTCATTTTTTTATTTTGAAAAAGTCTAGTCTAGATTTTCATTCAAGAAAAAAAAAAGAAGAAAAAAATTATTATTATTATAAAGTGAAAACTTGTGATATGATCAAAGGAGTTCCGGAACCACATTTCACCTCACTATAAGATACCAGAACGTCGTAATGGCACATTCTGGTTCCCTGTATTGAACCATAATATCGTTACCATCAGCCATATTATGCATGCAAATTTAAGACAAACTTATTGGACTTTTAAACTGAACCATATCTCCGTTCCAGCTGAAATATAGTATAGAGCATTGATTCCCAAATGGTGCTCCGCGGAACCTTAGGGTTCCGGGAGAGGGAGATTCCAAGAATTATGAATTATTTTCAATATGCAACACACAGATATGCCAAAATCTGTAATGAAAACGCAGCAGGAACATCATTCCTGCTAACTCTGTTTTGTTTTTGTTTTTTCGAAGCTCGGTCACCAAAGGAAAATAAAAAAGTCATAGTTTAAATGCCTTAAACTTGAAGCAATACGATGGTTTTAAACTATATATATAATCTTGCCATAAAGAATTATCTGAGTCTTAGAACAGACAAATAACTTAAAAATTTTAAAAGTTTTTAAACTTTTTTAAAAATCGCCAATTTGTCGACATATGTCCAACTAGATGAAAATTATCAAAATCACTCCCTTATTCTCAGTTTTTGCACATTTTAATTAGGTCGAGTAATACAGCATTGGAGTAATTTTGCATTATTCGGGCTCATAAAAATGCAGCATTGATCTATACATAGTAAGGTTCCGGAACTATGCTTCAATTAACAGAAGTTCTGATAACTAAAGTACTAAGGAATCTGTTCAAGAAGTCTACATCTGTAAAATGCTTACAAAACTCAGTTAAATTTCCTGTATTTGTTCAAGTTGATTAAAATTCAAAGAATTAGTTATATTTGTTCAATTTTTGACTATTACAATATAATCTGCATATTACAATTGTAATGTGTGTTACATAGTGTTATACAGTCGAACTCGTTTATAACGAGCTCGGATTTAACGAGAACTCGGATTTAACGAGGGAAACGAGAATATTTGGTTGGATCAATGTTAAGTCTATGGAACAGAAGTCGCTTATAACGAGCAAGACCCGGTTTTAGCGAGCAATATTTTTCTGTCTGGCAATCTTTTTTCTCATCTTTCTAGTCTTTCTGTCTTATCTTTTTTTCAAAATGATATGAAATGCGCGAGTTAAAAGTAAGCTGACAAACTATTTTAAATATGTAGATTAATGAAGAAAATAAATGTTTTGGCAAGAATCTTTTCCTTTATTTTTCTTTCCGTTTATATTTCCTTTCCTTTAAGACTGTAGCGCAACTAGAAATTTTTTGCTGGTTTGGGGGGAGGGGTTAGTTGTCACTAAATTAAGATAAATATTTAATTAAATTAATTAATATAATTAAAGTAAGTAAGTATTAATTAAATTTTAAGTCAACTCAATCATTTGACCTCCCAAGCCCCCCCCCCTCTTCTGGTTGCACGTCTGCCTTAAGGACCCGTTTATTACGAGCACTCGGATTTAACGAGTACATGTTACGGTCCCTTTGTGCTCGTTATAAACGAGTTCGACTGTATAATTCTAATATTTTACATTTGTACAGGTAATATTTCCAATTTGTATTTCTCTCTCATTTTGAGCGCGTTTTGCAGCAAAAAAAATTTTTTTTTTAAATTTACCTGTCCTGCAGTGGACTGATCGTAAAGACACGGTTTCCAGTAGAACATCGAATTCAAGCATCTCTGGCTACGGTCAGTAAGAGGGTTGGTGACCACTTTGATCACCCTGCGTAAGGACCGAGTGCATGCGGTATCGGTTATCGTTATTCTACCGTAAAGTGTTCGACTTCGCACGCAAGTCATCTGGCTACCAAAGCAGAGGAGTCATACGCTCTGCAGAGGATTGAAATTACGATGGCATGTCTTCGGATCATCCTCAGGGATGTTTCCCAGACCGTCCCCAATAGCAAATTGTGCAACTCTAGTGTGACGTAAATTTAGTACCTAGGTAAATTTTAGGGTAGGTAGGTAGATACTTAATATGTTTTGCTTCAATTTTAGATCGCTAAGAAACTGTCAATAAAACTGATTTTTAAATTATTTATTTTATTTAGTCAAAATAATTTACTTTGATAGATACTATTTTTGAGTAATGATTGATCATTACAAATCTACTAAAAAATAATTATAATTTATTCTATACAATTTGAAATATTTCTTATAAGCTTTGAAAAAAATACGTATTGTATTTTTGTTTTTTAAATTTTATTAAAACTTTGTAAAAATATTTGATTATTTGGAAATACTCAATATATATATATTTTTTTTAATTCATGATTACATATTTTGTTTTGCGTTTCTTAATTTTCATTAAATAATTTTTTTACTAATCTGCTAAAAAAGAATCATAATGTATTTTTTTTTAATTTTATCAATGTTTTAAAAAAATTGTAAAAAATGCATTTAGCGAAAAGTTAAATTATATTAAAAATTTGAGGAAATATTCAATTATTTAAAAATACCAAATTTAATTGAATAGCATTGGTTTTCATTCAGTAACCCTCTAGATCGGAGAAATCGATCCTTTGTTATTCTACATCGACCATCGATTCTATTCAAGGCCCCTATATCGATCCCCAGGAGTCGATATAGGGGCTTTGAAAAGATAGGCTACATCAACTTCAACTTTTAGCATGGATTGACTTTTAAAACAAGCTTTGAGTAAAAGTTAAGGGTTTTATTTTTTACCGCTACTCATTTTCAAAGAAACTAGACTTACTCTGTGAAGAAGTAGGCGGTCGAAAGCGCATTCACAATTCCCGCCAAAAATAAACAACTTATGATGTTGCTTAACGAACATAACTTACGTATGTTAATTTTTATTTCGAGAACTTTAATTATTATTTTTAAACTTAAAAGTTCAAATTATTTTTAATTGTCTAACAATTATAAAACTCTTATAATCCTTATTTTCAGTAAAGCTTTAATGGCTTCTGGCATATATTCTTGTACTACTTAGTATTTAAATATTTCTGCTGAAAAACGATGTCAATTCTGTAATTGAAAAGCAGTTTTTGAAGTTGTGCTCTGCAAAATAAAGTTAATAATTAACTTTTTCTCTGTTTCAGCCAGAAACATGAAGCTATTCTTTGCTAAAAATTAACTCGTCTTGTTCTTTCACTTTAAACCCGATTACCTTAATACACATAAATTTTATAGTACCTGCTTTCTAAGCCATGATACACCCTGGATTTTGATAAAATTTATTTGTAATCTATATGATTATTAATACAATATTTCTTTATTGTGTATAATATGTATTTCTTGTTCATTATTGTGTATAAATAATGTATTTCTTTGTTGTGCATGAATATATTTCTTCATTGTCAATTTTAAACCTCTTTTTTTGTTAGTAAGTAAAAGCATTCTAATATGGGATTATTAGTTAGAAACAGGGTTGGGTTTTTGCCGACGAAAACTGGTTTTTGACATGACAGTGGTAAAAACCTACTGTTTTCTTTAATTTATGGCATATAGCGGACAATATATTATTTTCACTTAATTGCCTTTATAAACGAATGATGTAAATGATTGCTATTGATTTTGCAACTATATACACATATTCTTGTAGAAGGATATACATTCATACAGAAATATTGTAACATACTTATTGAAAATAGTGATACTTTTATCATTATAGCTTAATTTGCATAAGATTCTAAATTTTCCGCTTCTTAATTGTTAGAAATAAACAAACAAAAAAACTTGGAACTATTAATAAATTCAAGAATTAAAAAGAATTTAAAATTTGGCATTTCTTAAATATTCTAATAATTCTTAAATATTCTAAGCTAAACAAAATTTTCAAAACTTGTAACTACTAACAAACTCAAACAAGTCAGAAATGACTTGACATTCTTCAGTAATGTAATATGCCAAACAAAATAATGCTTGGAAATGTTGAAAATTTTGTTTAGTATCCTAATATTTTACTTCAAATAGTATGATTTGATATAATCATGTTGGGAAAATGCAAAAACCTGTTCTTAAATATCTTTTAACAACTTTTTTTCTAATTTTATTGCCCAAAAATGAATTAATTTTAAATCATAAGCAGTTAGACTCAAATTAAAATACAGTTTTCTCAAAACTATGGGTTTTTGACAGTTTTTGACATGACGGTAAAAACCATGGTATAAACCGGTAAAAACCGTCATGTGTCAAAAACTTGCCAACCCTGGTTAGAAACAGTTTTGAAATAGGCCAATAAGAACCAAGGCTCTATGCGCCTTATGCAAGGAGTTTGCCGATTTTACAAATGCTATGCAAAGTTTATATTACAGAAGATATTTCCGTAATAATAACTGTTCGTGCTACCTGATAACAGAATTCAATGATTGTTTTAACACATCCCAGAAAGCATGTAACCTTACAACAACCTTGTGTCAGAATTTTCTTTTTATTGTCACGAAAATATTTGTTCTAAAAACCTTTTTTCAATGCAGCAAAAATGTTGCAGTTTCCAACTTTTCATCCTGAAAGTATCAAAAATTATTTTTTAATGCCTTTTTTAAAAGTATTGTCACTTAGGTAAATGTTAAGGTTTTTATATAGAAGGTTGTTTTGAATTAGGGTAATGTGTGCAGACTAGAGCAGATTGTCACAGATCTCGTTTTAAGATTAGAAGGTTTTCACATAAACCGCACAAAAACCTTTTTAGGTTTACATTAAAAGGTTTTTGCTGAGTTAAAAAAAATTTTTTTTTTTTTTTTACTATCTGGGATAGTTCATTCAAATGAGTTCGCCTTCTTACAAGATTTGAATATTTTGTGACAGAAATCGATAGGTCCCAAGCAAGGTTGGAGTTTTTGCCGGCAAAAAGGGGCTTTTGCCAGGACAGTGGCAAAAACCAAATTATCTAAATTGCTGATTAAATATTATTACAAAATACTTGAAACAAATTTAAATCAATCATAAGGAATAATAATTTTGATACATTACATGAAAAAAATTTTTTTAACTTATTGATAATTAATATACCTAAGGGTAATAATTTTTAAAAGATGGAAAGTTTTTGATCTCTTTTCATTTTAGAATCCTACAATAAATGTTTTTTTGCAAATAAATATTATTATTTGTATAATACTATTATNATTTATACATACACCATTTTCTCTACAGTTACATCTAGTTTGACTTTATTCCTTTATTTCTTTAACGATAGTCAACCTCGATTTAAGATTTTATATAGAAGGTTGTTTTCCAAGGTTTTGGATTAGGGTAATGTGGGTAGAATAGAGCAGATTGTCACAAATCTCGTTTAAATGTTAGAAGGTTTGCACGTAAACCGCATAAAAACCTTTTTAGGTTTACATTAAAAAGTTTTTGCAGAGTGAAAATAAACCTTATTTTGCCATCTGGGACATATTTATCTGATTTATACATACACCATTTTCTCTACAGTTACATCTAGTTTGACTTTATTCCTTTATTTCTTTAACGATAGTCAACCTCGATTTAAGATTTTATATAGAAGGTTGTTTTCCAAGGTTTTGGATTAGGGTAATGTGGGTAGAATAGAGCAGATTGTCACAAATCTCGTTTAAATGTTAGAAGGTTTGCACGTAAACCGCATAAAAACCTTTTTAGGTTTACATTAAAAGGTTTTTGCTGAGTTAAAATAAACCTTTTTTTTTTACTATCTGGGATAGTTCATTCAAATGAGTTTGCCTTCTTATGCGATTTGAATATTTTGTAACAAGAATCGATAGGTCCTCGTTTTAAGATTAGAAGGTTTGCATGTAAACCGCATAAAAACCTTTTTAGGTTTACATTAAAAGGTTTTTGCTGAGTTAAAATAAACCTTTTTTTTTTACTATCTGGGATAGTTCATTCAAATGAGTTCGCCTTCTTACGTGATTTGAATATTTTGTTACAGAAATCGATAGGTCCCAAGTGATATTTTTGAAAACGTTTTAGGGGATATTTCTGCTTTGGTACCCATTTGTTCCAACTATCTTCCTTAAGGCTCCAACATATATTTAACTTGTAAAATTTTAAAGAAAGTGCTCCAACCTAGCTATTTTACTTGAAATAAATTTTAAATAAATCTATTGTGACTGTCTTTATAAATATATTATAATGATTGATGTTCTTTTAATAGACCACTATAGAAGTCTTTCAAAAAGCATGTTAACAATAATAAGGGCTTCTATAAATTTAAAACACTTTTCTCACCATATATTAAAGATATTTGAAAGATGCACAGTATTAGATTAAAAGAGTTTAAAGAGGATCCATATGTTGCACAACCTATAGCCTGTTGGCCAAAAGCATCTCCCAAAGACTTTTAACTTAGTGCCTGAACTGTCTGTAATATTAATAAAAATACAACAACAAAAAATCCTGATCTAATTTAGCGCCTTATAAGTTTTTGGAATGGATTTAAAGTTTGCAGAGAAATGCAATTTCTTGTGGATTTGTATAAATAAATTAAAAGAAAATTTTTCAAATCAATAAGTCATTGCATTAATCTGATACTGTAACAAACATAAACTTAAGTTACCTTTTTTGTTGTATACTTATGAAATTTATATAATTTGCTTTGTAATATACAGTACAGAACCCGTTATCCGGAAATCAGAAAACCGGAACGAAATTCGGCAAGTTTTCCCGCCAGTTTTTTAAAAAATACTTTTTTTTCCTCATAAGATTTTAGGTTTTTTCTTTCTTTTTTGAAAGATGTTTACCTTACCATCATTTTGGAAATAATCATTAGTGTATTACTTCATTGTTTTTTCTTTTTTTTTAAGATTATTTTTAATTTTTTTTTTTAGTTGGGTTTAACTATAAAAAAAACAGCTTTTTGTAGCAATTCAGAAAACCGGAAAAATCAGTTATCTGGAATATCGATGGTCCTGATCGTTCCGAATAATCTGTTCCCTTCTGTATTAAGCATATTTGTTTAAGTTAAATTACAATATTTATTTCTTCCAAATAAAGTAAAGGATTAATTACATATTTATACATTCATATTACTTTTAAACAGAATCTACTTGCTTTTTTATAATTACAGTATTAAGTTAATAATGGTTAGTTTTGTTTTTCACTCATTGCCTGAGAATAAATGTACATCTCTGATCTATAGTGTTCCTTATTTAATTCACATTTAGCCTTTGCACTTTATCCCTTAAATTGCACTTTATTTAGTCAAATCTAAAAGATTTTCTAGGTCTGCCCTAGAATATTACTTGTCAACCATTTATTAAAATTAGTAAAATTTATGGTTTAAGATTTTTTTGGATAAGCTTAAATTTTACAAATGTTGAGGTATTCAAATAATTTCTCTGGTAAATAAATATTTAAGTTTTCTGGAGAAAATTTTTTTTTCTAAGCTTCAAACTTTACTCTCTCTCGTATTAGCTTTTAGATTTTATTAATTACTTGTACCGTTAATGTATTTTATGATCTTTTTATTAAATTTGCTACATTTGCATTCTAGATCTTTCGGAAGAAGCAATGTCTCCTGCTGTTAGTTATGATCACATTTATACCATGCTAGAAGAAATTTTCGAGTCTAGTATTCTAGAAGCTGATATATCTGACTTAATTTCAAATCTCGGAGAACTTTACGATTCTGTAAGTTTATTTCTAAAGTGTATGATAGTTATATGATTAAAAGCTTAAATTCTAAAAACATTTCTATTATTGGACCTTTTTGAAATGAATTTATTAAAAGCAAAATTTCGATTTGATCCTAGTATATGTTACACGTAGATACTAAGGTTAAGCCGTATGGGTATTACATATATGACTTATTTGGATTTCGTGACATTGGCGATATTTGGGAAGGCAATAAAGTTTGCAATCTCTAATTCTAGATTTGGCTAGACATTTATTTTTTAAATAGATGTGTTTAAAGTTTGCTCTTATTAGTGCCACCACTTATATAACAAAAATGCGTAATAAATATTATTAATGATTTTATATATTTATGTAAATAAGTATAAATAGTTTTTTTATGTAAATAGGTTTAGTCATTATTGATATGAGGTAAAGGAAAAAATACTATAGAAGTATTTAAGATAATTTGATATTAATTTAATTTAAAATATAGATAGAAAAAAAGATAAATAAAAATACAGCAAATATTTTTTAAAAAAATAAAGTGGCAAAATTGAAAAAAAGAAAAAAGAGGGAAGTAGAAAAAATATCCCTTTAATTCTTAAATAAAAACTGCTGAAAATAGTATTTTCTGGAAGAAATTTATCCATAAAAATTAAAAGTGATATAGTCTATCAGAAATGTTTTTAAAAATGTAGTGCTATCATAAAAAAGATTATGAAGAATTAAGTCTAATAGAAACCCACTTAATTGCCGTTTCATAATAAAAACAGAAGTTTTTAAAAAAGAAAGTGTTAAATAGAAAACAAAACAAAAATCATTCATAATTTTTAAACAAAATATTTAAATGTTAACAATCTCATTCTCTTTTCACATTGGAATATTTTTTTTACAGGGGTGATTGTAATCTAGGTGTAGCCGAAAATTCTGGGTTTTTCATTCCAGGCCTAGAAAAAATAAGCAGGGCATGTGATTTTTCCTCGATATTTTCGCAGAATTCCACATATTTCCAAACCATTGGTTCGCAAATAAGTAACTCACAATTCGACGACATTTTGAAACCTTTGTTATATACAGTTTACAGTTAACGACACGCTTATTTAATATTCTTATTTAATATTCTTCTAGTTTAATCTTGACCAGTTGGAATACAATTCAATTGCCTTATCAAATATAGTGTAACTTGTTCACCAGAAAGCAAAGATTTTTTTCCGAAAATAATCAATGATGACCTCGGTTAAAGGTGATTCTTAGGCAGAAGTATTTGATATTTTAGAAATTCAGAAAGTGTAAAATGTTTTGCTTTTCCTATTCTCAATATTTCTTTTTTGTCCAAAAATACATTTAAAGATGATATTTTGCTTTTTTTTTTTGGGGTTTAGTTGATAATTTTCCAATCACCTTACTTCAGTACCAACTCAATTAATTGTATACGTTATACTAAATTTTCCGCAAAGAAAATCATTGGCATCAAGGGATTGGTTCAGATGCTTGTAAGTCCATGTATTTCTTCAGATGTTGCTTTAGGAAATGATGCAAGTAGGGAAAGGTTTGAAGATTACACTTACAGTGCCCTTTCAGACAAGGCGTTTTACCACCAACAGTTTGGCGCAAGCATCATTTAGGCATTGGCGGGATTTTTCAAGGTCGTGTCAAGAATAATGTATACTTGGATTTTACCGAATTTCCTATTCTAATTTTGGCTGAATAGTTGATAAGATGGCCTAAAAGAAATAAAGGCTTTTTTTTTTAGGCTTGAAACTTCGCTGTAATCTTGTTAAAAAGAACTAAATTGTCTGCTCTAATGCTCATTTGCATAAAAAATAAATTTCATTTTTGTTATTTATATATTTTTTCAATTATAATTGATGTTATTTCAGAAAGCATCACACTGAAGAATTAAAATATGTATTTTATGTTTTCAGTTCAATGGCCAAGGCTTTGAAGAAAGTTTCAAAAGAATTTTGCTGTACATTTTGAGTGAGAGCAAGCGAAGTACTGAAGTCTCAAAGATTCTTCGTTTTATAGCTGAAAGTACAGTAACCTTAGACAATAAATATAAAACTGCAGCTGGAAAGAGTGATACTGATGAAGATATTGATGATATTGTCCATCCATTGTTAAAAGGCCTTTTTAAAATTTTAATAAGTGTAAGTAGTTATTTTAGTTATTATTTCCAATTCCATTTTGAAGAGTTGTAATAAAATCACCTAACTATTATTGACACCAATAATATTTAATTAGTTGTCGTAACAAACCTGCTTGCAGAATTTATGACATTACTCTGCAGCACTACCTTAATAAACCTAGATTTTAACTTAAAATGGAATAAAATAGAAATATTGGTGATTCTTTAAAATTGTAAAATTAGTTGTAAAACTATACCCCCACTATTTGCTTTCAAAGCTAAAGTTAAAAACATCAAATATGATGCTGGGGGAAAAAATGTTCGTTGTTTCATTTCCTTACTCTGCTTAAGCAGTGGAGAAATACATAGAATTGGCAATTCAAGTTTCATTTTTAATTAATGGTTTTGATGCTATTGACAGATTAATTAATACAAAACAACAATCCATTTTATTATTAGGCTAAAAATATTTTAAATAATAACTATAGGTACTACTCAAACATTTAATGAATTCGCAAGGAATAAGATGTTTTTGTATTATTTCTCACAAGTTAGGTATTATTTCTCACAAATTTTGTATTATCTCTCACAAATTCTTTCTTTTACGCTGTTTAATGATCAAAGTAAGATGAGGAAACAAATAATTTTACAAAATTAATAGTAAGTGTTAAAGGATAACTGATTTAAAGAATAACTGTATAAAACTGATTTTTCATACTATTGGTGTGCCCACTGTCTATTAAAGGCCCTTTTGTTACTGAAACAAAATGTTATCGAACTACTGGTTTCTGCTTGATTGATTAAAAGAAGTCTGTTTCCTGATTCAACAACGAAACTACTTTTGAACAAAGCTGTTAAATGGCGGCAGGAAAGAAATTGGGGGGATAAAAATTTCATTATGTGTTTAAAATACTCCAAGACAATTTTGTATTCAAAAGATGTTGATTAAACAATGGTATAACAGTTTTTAAATAGAGATGTAAATATTTCAAATTGCTTATTGATTGGCAATTATAAAGTAATTTCAATATTGAAATTGAAAACTATAATTCGAACTTCTTTAATAGTTCTTGTTTTTTATTTATTACTTTTGAAAGTAAATTGGTAATATTTGAATAATTTTCATTTTTTGCAAGGTAACTGTAATTAAATTATTTCATTATAGTTCTTAAACAAATGCTCCTGAAACAGATTAAAGTTTTCTGCTATGGTTAGATATATCAGAAATTACAAATTATTACCTTAGATAAATTTTACAAAGTATTTTTATCATATTATGAAAATTTAAAATATATAATTCCCAGAGCTTAAAACTTTCAATAAGGGGAAACTTGAAAATTGTCATCATTGTACACAAAATTGTTTAAAATAATTATTTCAGATGATTGCAGAGGCTAATTCGAAAGTTAAAATCCTTACTTGAAAAAACACCAATGAATTTTTTCATTTTTGGGAAAAGCATATGGCACATGTTACCTGTCAAAGAAGAAAAATTTCTTCATTGAGCAACCTTTTTACTTCAACAGTGACCTAACGTTACAGTTAAATTGCAGAAACTTTCTACAATTGTATAGCAATAGGAAGGGTACAAAAGACAAACGAAATAGCGTTTCAGTTGCATAAGAGTAAAATTGCACATGCTTAGACAGCATTTGATTTTATTAAACGGTTCATTATTATGAACCGGAATTTTACATTTAAGGAAAAAAAATTAAAGTTTAAACCTTACAAATGTGCCAAAAGTTAAATTGATTGCTGCATTTATGTTTTAATTTTACTGTGTGAACATTTGACATTAATAATTAAATATAATCTACATTTTGTTATTCAATGAAATTTCTGTTTATTGATGTGAAGCAATTATGGCAGGAGTTGAAATAAGCGTGAAAATTTAAATTTTCAGATGATAGCCAGTGGCCGATATACTCTAGTAACTTAATAGCAACTTTTTCCTCAATCCTAATGAATCGGTGACCAATACTGATAGGTCCTATTAATTCAATAGTCACTTTTTTTTTTTTTTTTTTTTTTTTTTTTTTTTTTTTTTTTTTTTTTTTTTNTTTTTTTGCTTGGATTAAATCATATTTTTAAAAGAAATTCATTTTAGAAATATTCAGACTTAATTTAATTCAACAGTAAAAGTGATATGAATAAGTGACAAAATGTAGTTAAATGTACTGGCTTGACTTCACCGTGCAAGAAAATTCGATGTGTAATAAAAGAATTTTTTAAAAATAACTGACGGAAATCTTTCTTATTTTTTATTTAATTTAAGTCTTCTCTTTTTTATGTCAACTCGCCTTGTTACGAGTGGTTATTTTCAGATTTAGATTGAAAGAATCGTAATTTTGTAAAAAAAAAAAAAAATTATTAGTAAACAGTTTGTGTAAAAAAAAAATTATTGAAGTAAATTGTATTACTTTACAACATTTCTAAGCGCTTTTTGAAATAATAAATTTATTTTTCTTTAAAGTGGTCTGAAGCATCCAGTTATACAGTTCGTTTTCGATCCTGTCAGTTGCTGTACTCTATTTTGACATATATACAAGATCATGGTGTAGGAGAGATAGCCATGGAAACGTATGAAAGTATTAGCAAACTTATAGAATCTCGGAGAAAGGATGTGAGCAGTAATGTACGTGCTCATGCAGTTCTTCTAGCGAAATTTTTTCAAGATCCTAGTACTGTAAATGATCCCGTTATAGCTGGTAAGAAAAGAAATAGTTGTATGGAAAGATTTAAATCTTTATTATTCTTACTTAGAAATTTTATTACAGTAATAAAGACAATGCAATGCTCAAACTGTTGAATGAAAATTAGTGTATGTTGTGGTCATGCAGCCGAGATGACCAAATCAACAGCTCTCATTTAAAAAGTTTTGCTTTTTTTAAAAAATAAATGTCTTTATTTTTCTTTTAAATTTGCTTTTGTGAAAAAATATTGCAATTTTTAAATTTTTTGCTCTTTTCTTAGTAAACATCAACATTTAATTTCAATGCTATTTTATTTTAAATATTTTTCTTGATTTTCAAGTTGTAGAATTACCATAGCTGCTAACTCTACTAAATTTACCAGTAGTCTACTGGATTTTGCCAGTTTCTCCTGATCTACTGGTTTAATAAAAATTCTACTTTTTGTACATTTTGAAAAATTTCCTAAAATTCAATAAGTTTCCTAAAAATAGAAAAGAAAATATCCCTATTGAAATAGAAGTTTTATGCAGTTCATTGCTTGCTTGAATTATTTAGATAAGTATAACTAATACGTAATGAAGCAAGCTTCATTTATAATAATCAGTTTAAAGCTTCTTTTTTTTTCTGAAATTTTTAGTTTATTTTTATTCAGAACTGCCGTTTTAAATTAATTAAAAAGCGTTTTAACTCTCAATATTGAATTGTGCATTATTATTATTTAAAGTTATGGGTTAACATAATAAGAGATGTTTCAAGTTCATTTAATGTCAATCAAAATAAACTGAAAATATTGCAGGTTTTAAACATACCTTCAGTTATTAATGTAATAAAGTTTTTGTATTTTGATGACAATGATGCTAATTTTCCCTATATGTAAAATATTTAATATATTATGCAACAGCTATTATGAAATTTATATTTTTTTGTAAAATCTACTGGATTTTTTCCTGTCCAAGTTGGCAGCTATCAATTACCTTTTAAGTATATAAAAAATTTTAAAAAATCACTAATAATAATAAATTGCAAGAAAAAAAAACTTTTACTCTCTTAATGTTAAAATATTTAATTTTAATAAAATTGTTTTTAAATATTTTGTTTCTAGAATCATGTTTTTTGAAAAAAATTTTGCAGTTAATAGCATTTACTTTTAAATTATACATTGATGGTAGCTTTAAATTTTTAACATTCTATAGTAATGTAAAACTGCTTTTTCAAATATTTTATTCTGTACTAAAATATCGGAATGGCATATATTTTTGTATTATATTATGCAAACTTTTTAAATAGATAAAATATACAAAGTTTCATTAATCTGCTATATTCTTTATGAAATATTTTCAGCCCTTTTTAAACATACCTTCATATAATGAAATGTTTATGTATTTATATATATATATACATTTTTTTTTTCAGTATTGTGCTGGCAGATGCAGCATGATCCTTATCCTCATGTAAGACAAAATATTGTGAGTATAATCGCAGCTTGTGAAGAAACCATAATTCCCATAGCCAATAGATTTTTGTATGACAAGCACCCTGGAGTTAGAAATGCTGCCTTATTGCATATCTGTAAAAGAATAGGTCCACGTTCATTTGCTCCTGCTCAGAGAATTCTGATTTTGCACAGATGTTTTACAGATCCATCTGGTAACTGCTACTTTTATTTAAAGCTCACAGTTACAGGGTTGCCACAGGCGACTAAAATGCACTATTGCAACTTTTTTTGCCTGAAAAGGCTAAAAAAGCAACTATTTTCAAGAATAGGAGACTATTGGGAGACTTTTCTGTACTCCTAGAGATGTTTTTTTTTTTTCAAGCATAAATTAGTGAAAAATCTGCGCCCCGCTAGATAGTTCTTGAACACACTGAACTTTTTTTTCTTAAGAAATAAAAAATGTTAAAAATTTTGAATTGCAAATTTGAGTCTTCACTTTCTAACTCGTTCAATCTGCACAAATTCCATTGTAAGTCTGCTTCGTTTCTCGATCACCTTTTCAATGATTATTGCTACAAAATTCAGCATGATTTTTTTTATTTTTTTTTTTTAAAAAATTTTTTTAACGGTATGACAATACATGAATTTCGAATTTTAGTAATCATTTTTCATCTATATGTATAAACATTTATATGAAAATTATCATATTTACCACCAACTTTACTGAATGGATCATGGTATATGACAATTAAGTCATTAACAAAACTTTTGCTCTTATTAGGCAACTATTTTCCTAGTTTTTGGTTACTATTTTCATGCTTCAGGCTACTAAAAGCAACTATTTTGTTCATTTTTTTCTGTGGCAACCCTGCAGTTAATCAAAACTAGTTTATATATATTCTCATTATTTTTAGTCACAAGTACATTTTCGAAGATTGTTCCTTTTTATAATTATATAATTGTACATTATTAATATTCAGTTACTTTTACCAAAATAAATAAAAAGATACAGCTCATTTTAATTTCTCTTGTGATAACTGAATAAACAATGCTCTGTGAGCAATAATGCTCATTAGAGTATTATTGCTTGTGGAATCAAAAAAAAATTTTTTTTTAGTTAATATTATTAATGTAGTTTCCATCATATGTAAGACATTTTACAATGTTTTTAGTTTTTGTATAATTAATTCTGACATATTGTTAACTACTTTTGTTAAATCTTTATTTATTTTGGAAAAGGATTTTTTTCTTAACGCCAAATTTTAATTATTCATTTATTTATACAGTAGGGAACCGGTTATCCGTAACGATCGGGACCATCGCTATTCTGGATAACTAATTTTTTCGGTTTTCTGAATCGCTACAAAAAGCCGTTTTTTTATTGTTAAACCCAACTAAAAAATAATAACAAATTGGAAATAATCTTAAAAAGAGGAAAAAACGATGAAGTAATACGGTAATGATTATTTCCAAAATGATGGTAAGGTAAACATCTTTCAAAAAAGTAAGAAAAATCCTAAAATCTTATGAGGAAAAAAAATTTTTTTTTAAAAAAATAGGGGAGAAATGTATCGAATTTCGTTCCGGTTTTTTGGTTTTCCGATTTTCTGAATTCCGGATAACGGGTTCTGTACTGTATATTTAATTAAATGATTTTAAACCAATGATTTAACATACTTTTTCGTCATTTTTTTAGTAGTTTGAAAATGATATTGGGAGGGGGAATAGTTTTTTATAATTTTATTTAATAAAAGGACATTTATTAGACTCATAGGTGCAAGTCTTCCGTCCCCAGGACGGATTTCCATCTTTCAAAAATGTCCGCGGACGGAAGTAAGACGGAAACAAGACTGACTCGAAGACGGAAATCGGATTATTATTTTTTTCTGTTCTTAAAAATAATTTTTAGGTCTACGTTATTGGTCTTATTATGTCAAGTGTTATTTCTTATGTCCTGTTGTTATTTTATCAAAAGAGAGATGAATAAATATTTTTTGTACCTTATTTAAACTTGATGTATTATGGTAAAGCTTTCTGAGATATTTTGCATATGTCGAGGGGGTATTGTGTATGTTAGGTATTTCAGTCAAAAAATTTTCAGTCTTGGCCTATTTTCCAACTTGCACCCATGACTCCAGGGCAATGTTTGATAGTAATGTTATANTGTTATTTTATCAAAAGAGAGATGAATAAATATTTTTTGTACAGTATTTAAACTTATGGTAAAGCTTTCTTAGATATTTTGCATATGTCGAGGGGGTATTGTGTATGTTAGGTATTTCAGTCAAAAAAATTTCAGTCTTGGCCTTTTTTCCAACTTGCACCCATGATTAGACTACATTAATGATTTATTATTGAAATAATGCTAAATATTGTCAAACAGCTTCTTAGTAAAATGTTGTAATTTATTTACATTTTCAAACTTTTATTCATTTTATTAGCTGTTAATTCATTTATTGTTAAAAAAAAGTTACATTTTTGAATTAAAATTTAAGGAAAAAGTTTTAAATGAGTATTACATCCCTTTTTTTAAAGTTAGTGTGATAAAAAAAAATTAAGTCAATAAATTTTTTTTCTTTAACTTTATATAATTATTCATAAATGGATCTTTTACATGCAGTTCAACTTCTATTAATTGTTTTAAAATCTGATTAAACTATATAATAAGATTTGTAAGCATTATTTATTAAAATTAGTTTTTTTTTTCTTAGATGTCATTCGTCGCAATGCTCAACAGAAATTGATACCAGTATGGTTTAGGGCTTGTGGAGATAAATTGAGCAATTTTTTCAAACTTCTGAGAATTGACCATGAAAGTTTGGACAACATCCCTTTTATAAAGGAATTAATTAATATCATGTTGAAATGTGTCAAGATTTCTCAAATTATAGAAGAAATTGAATTAGACATGAATAGGTAAAGTTATTTTATTTTATTAATAATCCATCCTGTCTTTTTTCTGATGGTAGTATCTACTATTTGGTTCTTTAAATAAGTATAGAAAAATTCATGGATATAACCTTAATTATAATTTGTTAGTGTTTTCAAATTTTTATCTACGAGTATTTACAGGGGTCTGTCTAGGTTTTTCTGAGAGGTACCTATTTTGTGAAAAATTTAGACATAATTTGTGAAAAATTAAAAATTATATTGAAAAATCAACACAAAAAATATGGTAAATGGTCGGTATGGTATGGTATATGGTCGTTTCTTAAGGGATACTAAAATAAAATTTTAAGAAAAAGTATTTTGTGAAACTATCGTTTTCGTAAAGTTGAATTTGTGAAACTACCGTTTTTCCTAAAGTTGAATTTGTGAAGGTACCGCTAAACGGTAGTAAATTAGGCCTAGGCAGACCCCTGATTTAAGAAAATTGTTTTAGATTAAAATATTTTTTTTTTTTTTTGTTGAATTCATCTTATTCATTTATTTTTTTTCATAATCTATTTTTTATAAAATGCTAAATAATGCACTTAATTTTTTTTTACATTATTTTGCAATTTTTAGGACTGAAAAAGTTAATTATATAAATTAAATTTAAGAAATATGCGAATTTATTTACTTTTTAATATTTATTGTTTTACTCAATCTATGTCGTGTTCATAAATAATCTTAGGATTTTTGAATTTCTGAGGTTGGTAGGTCAAAATAGTAGTTCCATTGTTGTTGTTTTTTAATGGTGATATTACATTGAAGTTGAGGGAATATGTTTATGGCATGGTTAATGCTGTTTAAATCCACTCTTCCTGTCAAAATATGCATAGCCTGTCTGTTATTTTTTAAACCAAAGCTTATTATGCCAAGTGTCTTTTGTTCAATAATAATTATTTAAATACATTCATTTNAAGATCCAGGAAGAAAAGTGAAACAGATTTTATTCTAAATGGCGTAATTCGAAGCTTTTCACAAAATGCGAGAAATTTGCGAATTTTGAAATTGATTTATAGAGTGCGCTAATTTCTCGCAGTAATAATTTTTAATGTGAGAAAAGAAAAAAATATGCGATATTCTCGCATTCTCGCCCTGTAGTGAAAACACTGGAAATGCTAAATAATGCACTTAATTTTTTTTATATTATTTTGCAATTTTTAAGAGTGAAAAAGTTAAAATAAATTTAGAGATAATATAAATTAAAATTTAAGAATATACGAATTTATTTACTTTTTAATATTTATTGTTTTGCTCATTCTATGTCAGTTTCATAAAAAATCTCAGGATTTTTGAATTTCTGAGGTTGGTAGGTCAAAATAGTAGTTCCATGTTTCTTTTTTTTTTTTTAAAGGTGATATTGCATTGAAGTTGAGGGAATATGTTTATGGCATGGTTAATGCTGTTTAAATCCACTCTTCCTGTCAAAATATGCATAGCCTGTCTGTTATTTTTTAAACCAAAGCTTATTATGCCAAGTGTCTTTTGTTCAATAATAATTATTTAAATACATTCATTTGTTGTTCCTTGCAGTTTCTTACCTAGATTGCCCCTGTCTGGAGAAAGAGTGTTTTTATGGCGCCACTTGTTCATTAATTCTAGCAAAGATGACAGATTATCTAAATTCATTGCTCCAGTAGACGATCTGATTCCATTTATTTTAAAGTAAGTAATAATTTACAGAAAGTTCTCTTGTTATCCTCTTGATTCTAAGTTACACTGGGTTTATGCTAGGAACATTCCGCTACTGATTTGTAAAAGCAAACATTCCCACAGCTACCCTTTGTGAGTCAAAGGGAAGAAAGGTTAAGACTCACCAGTTTTGTGAGGAATGGTATGATAATTGCAATGTGATCAGCATTATGCAACCAACAATTTTTTCTTGTCAGACAAACTCATAGATGTAGGTAGGGTAAAAGCCCAGTAGTAGTTTTATTTTTAATTTTCAAAAATAAACTTTTACTATATATATCAGTATGAACTTTAAACTATATGTATCAATTTAAAGTTTATTTTTGAAAATTGAAAATGAAATTTTAGAAAATATTTCAATACATTGTTACCTTAAAGTGATAAATAATGCAGCAAATGAATGTCGACTGAAATGATACGTTGTTGCATTAAAAGATTAATGTAAAAATATTTGCAATGTGTAATGTCATAAAGTAGACCTATATATTAAATCAAGTTTAAATTTGTGCATTTTTCAAGAAGAAATAATTTTTTTCAATGCAATAAGATAAAGTGGATTAAACGGAAGAGATTGTAAATGGGCACAGAGAATGAAATTTGTCGAAATTAAGTTTTTAAACAAGTTTTGTTCATTTACATTGAGTTTGTAACTTAAATATAAGTGATAAAACTTGAACTACACATTTCATATTTAAATTTTTTTTTAAATTGTTCATGAACTATTTAATTTAAGCCGAATTTGTCTTATATTTCTATTAAAAAAAACTAATTAGTTAAAAATTCTTTGATATTTTTTGTGTTGGTTCTATTTTATAATAATAAAAACAAACAATTTTATTTTTAAAGATTCTACTTTTTTGAAATAACAAAATTTCATTTTATTCAATAGAAATATTGAATTATGTGGCCGGGATAGCCTAGTCGGTAGGGCGCTGTGCCCATGTCTGAGAGTTCATGGGTTCAAACCCCGCCGGCCGAAAACTCCCCGTGTAGTAAATGGTGACTGGTGCACGTTAAATCTGTCAGGTCACAAAGTCCTCCATGTTCCAATAACAAATCAAAACCTCTGGGGGTACTGGATTGGAGATCGATCGTTCTCTGATTCAGTCAAAATTCTGATCTGTGGATGTATGAATAGATCAGCCCCATAAACAGGTGTGCAGGGTGGCCACCTACCTGGAATTATCGGGGAATTATTTTTATGCTGGTAAAAACCTGGAAAAATCAGGGAATTTTAAAGAAAAGCTGGAAATTATTTTAATTTCATAATTTAAGTTTATTACTAATTTTCTTAATTTAAATTGCACTCTATAACAAAAAAATCGATGCTCGATCAGGCTGGAATGATGCCGACTAGGGACATATAGTCTTTAGTGATGAATCCCTCTTCCAAATGTGTCCTGACGATCATCGAAGACGCGTTTGGAGACGCACAGGGCAGAGGGGAGATCCTGCCTTCACTATTGCACGCCACACCGGCCCTCAACAAAGCATTATGGTCTGGGGTGCCATTTCCTTTCAATCCCTCTTCCAACTGTGTCCTGACGATCATCGAAGACGCGCTTGGAGACGCACAGGGCAGAGTGGAGATCCTGCCTTCACTATTGCACGCCACACCGGCCCTCAACAAAGCATTATGGTCTGGGGTGCCATTTCCTTTGACAGCCGGACCCCTTTGGTCGTCATTAGTGGTACACTTACTGCACAGCGGTACGTCGACGACATCCTAAGACCTGTTATGCTACCGTTCCTTTTGCAGCACCCTGGGCTGGTTTTTCAGCAGGACAATACCAGACCACATACGCCACAAGTTGCTATGAACTGTCTGCAAACTTGTCAAACTTGTGGTGGTTGGTTGTGTCCAGGAGATGAATAGACGGAGCTTAAATTTTAATTAGTAGTTATTTTAATATTTAATTATAAAGTACAAAAGGAGAAATATAAAATAAGAGCAGTGCGTCTACAATGGCGGTTAGGCTTTTTCTTGGTGCGGAATGACAGAGACAGTTACTGATC